TTTTTTTAACCTTAAACCGCATAAACACGTTTCATTACACCAAATACACAAAATAATGTTCTTTTTAGCAGCATCATATGACCCCTTTAAGTAATTTTTTGCATCAGACAATATTCAAAGCCTTCCTCCCCCTACAGGCCATCAGCTGAAATAATGTCATATGGCACTTTTCCACTGCATGGTATGGCACGGTACGGCTCGGTACGGTTCACTTTTGGGGGGTTTTCCACTGGGTACAGTACCTGGTACTTTTTTTAGTACGACCTCGGTTGAGGTTCCAAGTGAACCGTACTGTTACCAAAACGTGACGCATAAACTCTGCTGATCACTGACTGGCTGGAGAGAATTGTCACTACCTGCGTCACTGAACTTGCGACACAAACGCAACAGAACCGCTAGATTTAAATCAGCACAGCCAGCGAAGGATCGAACGCAACTGTTCTGAACGAGCGCACCTTTTTTTAACAACCAAAAAGTGGCTGTTTCGTTGTCTGTTGAGGAAGTACAGACGTTCCTCTCGTTGATAGCAGAGGAGCGGATCCAGCGAGAGCTTGATAGGGCGATGCGGAATGAAAACGTTTTTTAGGAGTCGTGGTAGTAGAGGCGGCACAACTATAACGACATGTGAATAATCCCACCCACTCTAAAGCAGTACTGAACTGCAGTGGAAACGCAAACGCAAACCGTGCCGTGCCGTGCCGTATAGTGCCGTACCGAGCCGAGTCGTACCTCGCAGTGGAAAAGCGCCAATAGTGGCTTGTTATTAGATCTTTTCTTATCAATCAGTTAATCAATGGTTATTAGTCTTAAGAATGTTTTGTATTAAATGAGTATGATAAATGAAATAAAATCGCAAAACAAGCATTTTAGATTCTTAGGGTCCCATTTTATATTGTATATTGTTACTATTTTAGGAAAATGGTGGGGAGGGGGGGATACAAAACATTTCTGGAAAAATTAGGAACATTTAACAAAAAAATAATTTTGTTTTTGGGGTTGATGGCATATCTGATGACAATTATATTAATATTAATGTTCTTGTTTTAATGTAGAATAATAATGCAATAATTTAGTCATATGTTATAAAAAAATAAAATCAGATTCTTTGACCGTTGTTCAATGTTCAATTCAAAATTTGTACAGTATATTGAAAAAATTATCAGAACAAGAGCTTGCCACAAAGTTTATTTTTTTTACATGTTGCATGCATTTTTAGCAGATTTAGAATTTTAATTGTTAGATTAATTTATTTTAAACTATTCATATAAATTCATATAAATATAACAATATAAATATATAATTCGTAGAACTTAATTGTTATATTGATAATTTATTTAAGTGTGTGCGTTGCGCCTTTTATTACAAGCAGAGGAATGCACATGCAAGCGTCGTGGTACTGTCATGAACATGCGTCAAAGACTGACACAGAAGAGATTGTTGAATAAAGTCGTTATTTTTGTTATCTTTGCACACAAAAAGTATTCTCGTAGCTTCATAACATTACGCTTGAACCACTGATGTCACATAGACTATTTTAACGATGTCCTTACTACCTTTCTGAGCCTTGAACGTGGCAATTGCGTTGCTGTCTATGAAGGGTCAGAACGTTCTCAGATTTCATCAAAAATATGTTCATTTGTGTTCCGAAGATGAACAAATGTTTTATGGGTTTGGAACGACATGAGGGTGAGTAATTAATGACATAATTCTAATTTTTGGGTGAACTGTCCATTTAAGGTGTGGTCACAATAGTGAAATTTCAGTAAAATTGTGTGGGCAAAAAAGGTCTATTATCTGTTGTTAAAAGTGTAAAGATGCATGAAGTCACTTTAAGTAATCAAGCAAATTTCTGTTTTTCAACATGGCAAATTGGCATGTCCAACTTGAATCTGTTGCGAAATCTGCATGGGGTAATTTTTTGCCCTTATGCGAGGCTCCCATTCACGTGGATTCCTATTGAAATGATGGGATTTTGCCTGCTGATATCCCCGAACATCGGTAAATGTGACCGCATCTTTACATTTGTCTTTCCTGTTACTTATTTGTATCTCATCTTCTGCCTCAGGAGGTTGTTGGAATCATCGCTCTTTCCGTTATCTCGATATGATATGTCTGGCTCCAGAGATCATCCCATATACCCAGATCCTGCCAGGTACCTGTTTGAAAGCCTATATGTGCAAACTCAAGGCTGATTATTGGGCTTTAACTTCAGAGTTTTGACTCTTTTTCTCTTCCATCTCCTCAGGCTGTCTCCGGCTGCTTACTATGCTCAGAGGATGATCCAGTATCTGTCTCGGAGAGAAAGCATACGCCAGCGTTCTTTACAGAATCGCCTACGGACGCTCTCTAACTCTCAAGCCGACAGCCAGTCCAACAACCCCTCCTCCACGCCACCAGAGGCCAGTGATGGAGACTATGAGGACATCGAGTGAGTCTGATAAAACTCATTGCATCCTCACTCACATATACATACATCTATATTACTGTACGATTGCAATTACTGTTATCTAAATCCATTTTGCTGTGTTCATCCTTGTGGTTTTGAGTAAGTGTTTAAAATATTTATTTTCTCTCTCGGTTACAGGGAGCCTGGAGACAGGACAAGACACAGAATGCCCCGCAACGCTCGAATGTCAGCCCCCTCTCTTGGGCGCTTTGTCCCACGGTAAGTGTCTTATGCGACTGTAAAAACAGTAATATTGTGAAATATTTGTACAATTTAAAATGAGTTTTCTATTTGAATAGTTTTTAAAATATAATTTATTCTTGTAATGCAAAGCTGAATTTTCAGCATTATTACTCCAGTATTCAGTGTCACATGATCCTTCAGAAATCATTCTAATATACTGATTTGGTGCTGAAGAAACATTTTCTTATTATCTGTTGAAAACAGTTAATTAACATTTTTGTGGAAACCGTGATGCATGTTTTTTTTCAGGTTTCATTGATGAATAGATCGTTTAAAGGAACAGTGTTTATTTGAAATAGAAATGTCCTTATTATTTTAGAAAAAAATCTTTACAAATCTTTACTGTCCACAATCTTTTGAATGCTGGTGTACAAAGTCAAGATAAAAAAAATTAATAGTATATGAAATAATGTACTGCAATGATCTTTCTTTTTGTTTTGTTTTTTTTGGTTTCTTGCTTTAGATAAGTTAATAAATTAATTCAGATTTCTGAGCTTTTTCAAAGAAAGAAAATTGTGTTAATTTGTTATTAACATTAATATAAACATGTATTTTTGTCTGAAGGAGGTTCCTGTTACCAGAGTACTTGCCTTACGCTGGACTTTTCCATGAAAGGGGTCAGTCAGGCCTGGCCACTCACTCCTCCATTAACAGAGTATTAGCAGGTACAGCAAGCAATTTCATTTCACGTCTTTCTTATTTTGTTTTGTTATGAAGCACTTTCAATAATTTTTATCCCATAATGTCAGAAACATTAGGTACAAGAATAGTGATTTTGAAAAACTGAAGAGAGTTAAATAGATCTACCCATAATGCTCGCTTGCAGGTGCTTCTATAGGTGATGGGCAGTCAGCTGTGGCCAGTAACATTGCCAACACCACCTATAGGCTGCAGTGGTGGGATTTCACCAAGTTTGACCTTCCGGAGATCAGTAATGGTATGTTCTTCTGAGTACTAATGGTTTTTTCCTGTTTTTGCAAACAAAAAGGTATCTTGTTTCACTTTACTTCTTCAGAAACTACAAAATGATGATCATATTTCATTTTCTTTTTCTTAGCGACTGTAAATGTACTCGTTCCTCACTGTAAGATCTACAACGATGCCAGCTGTGATATTTCAGCGGACGGGCAGCTGCTGGCCGTGTTCATTCCCAGCAGCCAGCGAGGTTTTGCAGATGAGGGCATCCTAGCCGTCTACTCCCTCGCTCCCCATAACCTAGGAGAAGTGCTGTACACCAAGAGATTCGGTCAGTGATATCAAACAGGAACTCCGCAGCTCATTTTGGCAGTAACACTGTGAACATTCCTGTTTAGAGTTTAGAAAAAAATACTTTATTAGCAGAAATATTTGTTTTTGAGTTTTGCTTTTGACTTGCATTTCAGGTCCAAATGCAATCTCAGTGAGTCTTTCACCCATGGGCTGCTATGTGATGGTAGGTCTGGCCTCCAGACGAATCCTGCTCCATCCCACTACTGACCATATGGTGGCGCAAGTGTTTCGTCTACAGCAGCCACACGGAGGAGAGACCTCCATTAGAGTAAGAGCCTACAAAAATGCCACATTTGCAGGATTGTAAAAATGGTTTATTTAACAATATAAACTGTGAGTTAGGGTGAGTTTTATTCATAGACCCACAGCCATAAAGAATGATAAAGTACTGTGATTAAAATTTTGTTTTTCTGCTTTCTGTGTTTTTGATGGTCATCATCCTGTAGATGATGTTTAATGTGGTGTACCCCATGGCTCCAGACCAGAGAAGACACGTCAGTATTAATTCGGCTCGGTGGCTTCCAGAGCCAGGCTTGGGATTGGCCTATGGAACCAATAAGGGTGACCTGGTCATCTGCAGGCCAGTGTAAGTAAACACCCAGATAAAACATCTGGTCCATGCTTGCTTTAGTCCTTAGCAAATTTTTATTTCCTTATCACATCGTAAAACCCAGTATTTTGTTTTATTTCATTTGCCAAATGTTTTTATCCATAGTAAATTACAGTATACTTATTACAGGAACGAAGTATTATGCCTAAGGAAACAATGACTCCAAAACCTAAGCTGCCTTACTTTTTATTGTCTACATAGCCAGCTGCCTGCTAAGGAAGCGTCCTGAAATACAATCTCATAAGTGACCATGACCAATTACATAGACTGCAGCACACAAAGCACAAAAGATTCTAATTTTTAACAGTTTGAGTTGCTGTTGAGGATACTGTTGCTAAGTGCATGACATTCTAGTATGAAAATACATATATTACTACAATTTAAAATAACTGTTGTATATTTTAAAATGTAATTAATTCCTATAATGTCTGGCTGAATTTTCAGCATCATTACTCCAGTCTTCAGTGTCCCATGATTCTTCAGAAATCATTCTAATATCCTGATTTCCTGCTCCAGAAACATTTCCTATTATCATCAATGTTAAAAACAGTTGTGGTGCTTAATATGTTTGTGAATGCTGTGATACTTTTTTTCAGGATTTTTTCCCATATATAGAAAGTTCAAGTATTTATTTGAAATGGAAATATTTTGTAACATTGTAAATGTATTTTACTACTTTTGATCTATTTAGTGCATCCCTCTGAATCTAAGTATTATTTTCTTTCCAAAAAAAAACTGTACTGTCCCCATATTTTTGAACAGTGCTTTGTCATTTATTTTTGATAAATTAATTTATTTTAAATGTTTATATTCACCATATATCTCGTATTTAACATTTTAGCATCACTATGATGCCTTAAAATATTTTCTCTGTAGGCAACTATTAGGTTTAGCAACAAAGCAAGTGATAATGATAGTTTGTGAATTGCTTCTATTTGGGATGGTACCAGTAACTTTTTGGCCTTTAGCCCAGATCTTTAACCAGTACGCCACACCACCCAGCAAGATAAACAAAGTGCCACCGTGAAGCACAGTAGCCATGGAAATTGCAGATAAAACCAAACCCAGTTTATCGGCGCAATAAAAGCCACATTTTTACAACCAGTAATTTCCATAAATGAGTTCCAGAGCTTGTGTCAATATTGACTCGGTGAGTCAAACATGCCAAAGACTCAGAGAGTTGATTCATTATCTGTCTGTCAGCAGTTCATCTTCAACAATTGAATAGTCAAGCGAGTTCCCGATCCCAGATCAGTGTCAGTTTTCAGATACGTGTACTATATGAGGACTTTTGATAAACCACCATGCTACCTGAAGCCGCCTTTCATTAGATTACCATCTTCATTAGTGGCAGGAAACTCGGGTGTTCAACTGGAAAGAAGCAGTTATTGTTTTTTAACAAGGTTAAAGGCCACATTACCTCTGCGCACCATGACTTTTGCAGCTCATCGCTTTCAAGGAATTCTCCCCCAATCTGATGGGTTTATAATCCGATCACAGCCCACACGGACCGATGGAGTACGTCACAATAATTCCATTGCTTCTTTGCAATTCAGTTGTTCAGTTTAGTAATTTGGTCAAGTCTGGGTGTATTATTGGTCTTAAACGCACAATCCGAGATCTGCACATGGCTCTCTTGAATACTTGATTCTGATTGGCTGTTCTACAATTAGCTATTTTTATACAGAATAATGCTAAACTGTATAATTGACCATAATTGTCCCATTCAGCAGATGCCCTGCATTGTTGTGCAAGCTTCATGGATTGCATCATTTTGCAGTTTCACGATAAACTACGATATGTAATGTCCATTTGTTTATTTATATATTTGGTACTTAGCTGTGTAATAAGTGGGATAATGTACCATCAGCCAGTCATTATCGCAAAATGAATCCCTTCAGGGTGATAAATAACCGGACGTGAATCATACGTTGCCATTTACTTAGATGTGTAAACAAGATAATGAAGTCTAAAATATCTGTTTTGTTGTCAGTGATTTCCGCAGTGATGGAGACAGTCCGTCGGATCTGAACTCGGATTCTTTGTTTACCGTCAGCAGCAGCAGCAGCAGCCGAACCCGTGGAGTGGAGCGCCCAGGGTCAGAAATTAGCAGAATCTAAAGTCATAGCTTGTCATAGTCATGGATCCAAAAATGCTCATCTGTGTTTATTTCTTACAGCACCAGCAGGTCCGGCTGGCGATTTGACCGAGACATGGGCCTTATGAACGCTATTGGCCTGCAGCCGCGTCAGGCCGCCCCTTCTGTGACCTCACAGGGGACGCAGACACCAGTGGTGCGACTGCAGAATGCCGAGACGCAGACGGAGAGAGAACTTCCTTCAGCCAGCACCTTCCAGAACGCGCACACATCCAGACACAGTAAGACGTTTGTATGAATGTAATTTGCATAAAATTACATAAAGACACTTTTTTTAAAAACAAGAATATACAATAAAAAATCGATCTTTTTTTAATTGTATAATAATTTGTATTTATATGTACAATGGCATTTTAGTGCCACGTAAAAAAAAAAAAATAAGATTATGAGATTAAAGTCGTAATATTACGACTTTATTCTCGAAATATTACGACTTTATTCCCGTAGTATTTCGACTTTATTCTCGTAGTATTTTGACTTTATTCTCGTAGTATTTTGACTTTATTCTCGTAGTATTTCGACTTTATTCTCGAAATATCACAACTTTAATCTCGTAATCATAAATATTTTTTATTTTTTAATGTGGCACTAAAACGCACTAAGTCGTATATATATGCACCATTATAAAATGCAAAAATGTCCCTACTTATACAGCAGGGTCCAAAAAGTAGTGACTTTTTTTTTTTTGCACCAAATTAAATTTATTATTATATATGTTACAATTATATTATTTGAATTACAATTTCAATCAGAAGATTAACTAAGCACTGACATCATTTTAATTTGTATTTATATGTACAATGGCATTTTAGTGCCACGTAAAAAAAAAAAATAAGATTATGAGATTAAAGTCGTAATATTACGACTTTATTCTCGAAATATTACGACTTTATTCCCGTAGTATTTCGACTTTATTCTCGTAGTATTTTGACTTTATTCTCGTAGTATTTCGACTTTATTCTCGAAATATCACAACTTTAATCTCGTAATCATAAATATTTTTTATTTTTTAATGTGGCACTAAAACGCACTAAGTCGTATATATATGCACCATTATAAAATGCAAAAATGTCCCTACTTATACAGCAGGGTCCAAAAAGTAGGTCTTTTTTTTTTTTTTTTTTTGCACCAAATTAAATTTATTATTATATATGTTACAATTATATTATTTGAATTACAATTTCAATCAGAAGATTAACTAAGCACTGACATCATTTTTTTTTTAGTATTTTGTTTGACCCCTTTTTGCTTTCATGCACATCCACCAAAGATTTTTTTCCTTTTTGTATTTACAATATTAAATGTGATCTTAAACTCCAGATCTTCTATGTATTTTTAATAATAAATAATAAAGTAATAATAAAAGATTTTAATGCATGGAAATACCTGATTCACTTGATTTTTTTCTGTCAACATTGAATTATTTTGATTTTATTCATTGAAATGGGCTGTTTTAACTGATTCAAATTAGGCCTGGACAATAATTCAATATCAATATGTATCACAATATAATTTTTTTTCAATAACGGTGATATGATTTTTAAATACATTTCCGATATTTCAAAATACATTACCAGTGTTTCCCATACATTGATTTATTTGTGGCGTTTGACTTCATTGAATAAACATGAGCACTGCACGTTTCAAAATCATAACACGGTGCTGGTGTTTTATATGAATGCATCTCTGAAGGGAAAGGACTATCTTCAGAAAAGTTTAGATGGCGTTTTTATTTGTTCTGATAAAGTAGCGTTCATGAGCGGAGCTGTTTTGATTACAGCCGTTACCGGGGAATCCGATGTTTCTGCTGCTCTCAATGCACCTCCTGCTGGCAGAGAATCAGTTTGCATGTTCAATAATAAGCCCGTCTCCAGCAACGTTTTTGTTGCTCAATTTTTTTGTTTTCTGCTGCAACTCAGAGCACTTCTCATACTCTTTATCCTGGCTGAAGCACATTTGTTTCAGTCTATAAGAATAATCAGCCTACACTACCAGTCAAAGGTTTTTAAACAGTAAGATTTTTATTGTTGTTTTTAAAGAAGTCTCTTCTGCTCACCAAGCAAAAAACAGTACAATTTTGAAATGTTTACTATTATTATAGAAATGAGTACTTTTATTAATAAATTGATCAAAAGTGATGATAAAGACATTTATAATATTACAAAAGATTTCTATTTCAGATAAATGTTGTTCAACATAATAATAATCAATCAATCAGAATATTAGAATGATTTCTGAAGGATCAGGTGAATGGAGTAATGATACTAAAAATTAAGCTTTGAAATCACAGAAATAAATTACATTTGAAAATATTTCCAAATAGAAAACAGTTATTTTAAATAGTAAAAATATTTCAAAATGTTACTGTTTTTGCTGTATTTTGGATCAAATAAATGCAGGCTTGGTGAGCAGAAGAGAATTATTTAAAAAAACATTAAAAATCTTACTGTTCAAAAACTTTTCACTGATATGTTAGCCTATAGTTTAAAGTTAAAGATATTAATAAGGTTAGTCTGAGATGTTTATTTGACAGTGATTTCACATTTCTTGTTTGTGTGAAGGCTAAAAACAAATAAAAGGTGAACATTAATTTATTTGTGCTTTTTTTTTTTCTAAAAAATTAAATAGTTTATAGGAAGAGGTTTCATAGACTTTTTTTTTTTTGTAGGTACAGACATCTGTAGTGGGTGTTCTTGGCAGTATTTATAAGGCTTTTTTTAGTAGTGTTCATATCGATATCAGAATTATATCGTATCGACCGAAATTAAGAAATATATCGTGATATAAATTTTGGCCACATCATCCAGCCCTAATTCAAATTAATAAACTGAACTTATTAACCGTTTTAGGAAAATTACTAGCCACATAATCAGATTTCTTAATTTTATACTGCTTGCAAAATCATTTTAAATATTCAAAATATATTGCCCAGATGTAATGCATTAATGCTAAAAAAAATAACCTGCAGTGAAGTGTCTTGCTCAAGACCACAGTGATTCTAACGGATATCTATAAAGCTCCAGTTCATTTCTCTGTAACCATGTTAAGTAATATTGATTATGTCCTCTCACAGCTGCAAAATGTGTTACTCTTGCAGTGGTTCACACAGCCAGCACCAGCACTGAGAGGCACCCAGAGACGACACATACACTGTCACACACACCAGTTCAGGCATCGCTTTCAGAGGGATCGCTGAACCGGACCAACTTGCCCACCACATATCACGGTAACTGCTTTGTCTCACTCTTTCTCATCCTGTCTCTTCCTCCTTTGTCGGACACAGGTACTGGAGTGAAATTGATTGAACTGATCTCTCCGATATCTGTGTTGTGTCCTGCTGAGGGCTTTACACTGTTATTACTGTTTCAAGTGCTTTATTACCTGCTGTTAGCTGGTCTAATTAAATCTGCGCCCTTGTTTTCTCGATTTATTGGGACCCAGTGTGCACACATGGAAAGTTAATAGATAACTTACTAAGACCTTGTTGTTGTTGTTTTGGTCATTAACCAAAAATCGTATTTCCCAGTATAGGTAACGGCATATCACACTTAAAATATAATTATTTATGTTGGAATTTATGGTGATAGTACTTTGATAATGGTTAAGTAATAGTTTAAATTTATAGTGATAGTAGTTTGATAATGGCTTAAATTATAGTAGTTAGTAGTAGATAATTGTTTTAATTTATTATTATTTTTTAATAACCTGGCTGTATTTGTTTAATTTTGTGATTTAATACATTACAAATGATTGTTACTTCATCTCATTTGATAATTTTCTTAATCTTTTTTAATTCTAAACTTGAACGCCAGTCAAAAACTATTGTGTAATAGCTTCACCTTACTTAAAACCTTTGAATTAAAAACTCAGTAAATAAATAAGTTCTTCCTGTTTTCGCATTGCCCCAACAAACTCATCAAAATCATATAAATAATGTAAAGCAATCTTGCCCAGTAATGTTTGTGCATATATTTACAGCAATATAACAAAAAAAATCTGTTATGCTATATAGGGCTGGACAATAATTCAATATCAATATATATCATGTTATAACGGTTTTCAATTAACACATTTCCGGTATTTCAGTATACATTACAGCATTTTGTCACTTGCTGCATTTCCATTACCCTTCAAATTGCACAAATTAATTATTTCTAAAATTTATTTCTGAAATATTATACAGTTTTATAGGAGGAGTTTTTATAGACTTGGTAAATTAAATTTTCAGAAGTTTGTAGGTACAGGCATCCATTGTGGGCATTCTTGGCAGTTTTTCTGAGGCTTTTTTTAGTATTGTTCATATCGATATCGGAATTATATCGCATCGACCAAAATGAAGAAACATATCGTGATTAAAATTTTGGCCATATCGTCCAGCCCTAATGCTATAGCAACCGGTGAAATGAGATCAGTCAGCAAAATTTGTGAATAGAATAGAATAGAAAAACTTTTTATCCAAATCGGTTTGCATTGCATTCAAGGTATCGATTCTTGTTTTCCCTGGTAATCAAACCCATGACTGTGGCGTTGCTTGCACCATTCTTAACGAAATCTTAATTTTTTTTACGCAATTTGAATCTTCGTTTTGCTGTTATCTGATATGAGCATCTCACTGTCCTTTCTGTTTTTTTTAGCGGACTCAGCAGCCGAGCCCGGCCCAGGAGAAGACGCTCTGTCTCGGATCCGCCGCCTAATGGCGGAAGGAGGAATGACCGCCGTAGTCCAGCGGGAACGCAGCACTACAATGGCTTCCATGGGCGGCTTTGGAAACAACATTGTTGTCAGTCATCGGATTCACCGTGGCTCACAGACCTTGGTCAGGACAACTCAGGTGGGAAACCCAACCTCGGAAATGCCTGCTGGACTCGGTATCTCGACTCTTTTTCACACTGAACCCTTGGTAGACTCTCTAGAAGCTCCTGGGCCGTCAGGGTCCAGCGGTGCCCCACTTCCGTCACAGTTTACAACTCGTTCTGAGGTCGCGGGGGCATCTCCTATGGTTGAGACGAACTTGTTTGGTGATCGTCAAGCTGATGATGTACAGCACCACCCATCCGCGAGTGGTTTGGATATGTCCAACCGTAGCAACAACAATAACAATGACCATAGCAACAGCTACAGTGAAAGCCGGAGCCGAGATTACCCTGATGACTTGTACGGCAGATAGTCTTAAGTCTGGTTTTCACAGAGACGAACATCTCAACTGGTCTACATGGTGCTGGAGCATTTCGTGGTGGACCCTTTGTTACACACAGAACATAGCATTTAGGGCGGAGCTACTGAACTTCCCGCCTCAGTTCTGACTCCTCCCACTCTGGCCTTATTTGGGAATGAATGAGTGCCAAGTTTTTCATGGCATCTCCTTAACCGGGAGACGCCAGCCTCACCTTTTTTGTCAAAACAACAGATTCTTGCTTTGGGGAAGCATCATTATTGCGCTTGCGTTTTGCACTTAAGTTATAATTTTTCTTCCTTTCAAGGTTGAGTCTCAGACATTTCATCATTCCATGCGAGAAAGGGCATCATACTTGAATCCTTCCCGTACTTCAGTACGGAATAACATGGTTGTAGGTAAAGGGTTACTCCACCCCAAAATGAAAATTATGTCATTAATTACTCGCCCTCATGTCGTTCCAAACCCGTAAGACCTTTCGTCTTCGGAACACAAATTAAGATATTTTTGATGTATTCTGACAGCTCTCTGACCCTCCCATAGACAGCAATGTAAGTAACACGATCAACGGCCAGAAACGTAGCAAGGAGATCGGTAAAATAATCCATGTGATATCAGGGGTTCAACCGTAATTTTACGAAGCTACGCAAATACTTTTGTTATTTTTGATTTCCTTGCTTACAAACTTTATTCAACAGTTCGTGTCCTCCGCGTTGGAGAGTATCCACTGAATGCAAACCGCGTATGCTGTTCTGTCAACCGCACCACACGGATATGTTTTCTACGTTTATTTACACTTTGATTTGAACGAAAACAATCGTTCAAATCAAAGTGTAAATAAACGTAGAAAACATATCCGTGTGGTGCGGCTGACACAGAACAGCATACGCGGTTTGCGTTCAGTGGATAGTCTCCAAAATGGCGCTACGGAGACGCAGAGACGACGAATTGTTGAATAAAGTCGTTATTTTTTTATTTTATTTTTTTCGTAAAATTACGGTTGAACCCCTGATGTCACATGGATTATTTTACCGATCTCCTTGCTACGTTTCTGGACGTTGATCGTGTTACTTACATTGCTGTCTATTGGAGGGTCCGAGAGCTCTCCGAATAAATAAAAAAATATCTTAATTTGTGTTCCGAAGATGAACGGAGGTCTTACTGGTTTGGAACGACATGAGGGTGAGTAATTAATGACACAATTTTCATTTTGGGGTGGAGTAACCCTTTAACCACCCTTTCAAGCTTTAGGAAAAATCATCAGCCAATAGAAGTGCCAGATGAGGCTGGGGGCGTGTCCTTACGATTCATTTGGATCCCATGGGATCTGTTGTCTTCAGGACATTTCGGGTTGAGGAACTGTAAAACAGTACAGACTCTTCACAGCTAAACACTAACTCACACAACATCCTCTAACGGTTTTTGTGTTTAAATTCAGAGATTATGCTTGACGTGATTGTTTTTTGTGTGTGCGATAATGTGACTTTCAGTGGTCAAGTCATTCAGTTGATCAGTATCTAGAACAACATCTGCTTTGAAATTCTCAGACTGGAAAGACTCGTCTGCGTGAGCATGTGTCCTACTAAACTTCCAGATGGCGAATTTTAAGATGTTTTTTAATTTGAATTTATTTCTGTTGTTTGAAAAATACACTTCTGAAAGCATGTCATCTGTAATTGTCCGTCGGATAAAAAGCAGTTCGGGAACCCTCAAGCTGGTACAGATCTCTCATATCTGCATGTGTGTCCAGTTCCAGAGCTTTTATACAAGGAGGCGGGCTGAATGCGGAAGGCAGGACTTAAGCAAATAAGCATGCAGGCTGTAGAACGCACATGCGCATCAAGTGAAATTTTGGTACGCTGAGCAGTTTTTATTGGGCTTTTATACATTTGTGACCGTTTACTTGTGTGTAGGAGTCAATTCACGTTTATTGTTGCAACTGTTGCGATTTAACACGATGCATTTTTACTAATTCTACTGATATAATTTCCCAGAAATACCTTAATACTCAGAAAGGAAATGTAAGATGGTTAAAATTGTGCCAGATCATCTTCACACTTTAAACGTAACACTTTTTATGCAGTTTAGCCAATTCGCCATTAATTAACCTCAAATCAGCTGATTGGCCGAAGGTTTCATTCCATTCTACCAATCGCAACAAGCCGCTTATGATGTGTAAGACAAATGGCAAGTGATTGCACTTAAGCGCCCTTTTCTCCTGCACCGAGAACAGCGTTACAGACAATAAACCAGACATATCTCTATCCTAGATCTGGATTATAAGCGATAATCACTCTTGAATGACACATAATAAAGTATTTCTTGGGCACTGGACACTTAGGAGAGAGACGGCCCGATATGCGTGCTGCACACTGCTGAGAGTCACTGACGACGGGCACTGTCTGTATGTGTGAATGTGTATGTCTGTGAGTGTCCTCCACTGAACCTAGAGTTTTATTATAAATAAATGTAGCATTGTAAATGTAGAGATGATAAATCGTGGGAAAAAACTTAAATCCATATTTCGGGATGTTTTTTTTTTTAATGACATTTGCCTTGTGAGCTCTATTGTGCTTGTTTAGATTCTCGTGTACGATTGGTCAAGTCTAGCGATTTGAGTTGTCAATGCATTTGCATATGCACAGGCCTTTCGTTAACAAGCATTTATAAAAATATCTCCCTCTGCTTTTGTGTAAAATATTTTGTTATTTTAGCTGCTTGGCTTGAATTAGTAGCTTTTTTTTTGTAAAAAAAAAACAAACACGGTCCCTAATAGGAATGGTTTGTGTTTTGAACGTTTTTGGATGCAAGATTCTATTGGATTGAGGTCTCATCGCGAACAATGGCAGCTGAGGAACCTCTCGGAAACCACATACCCTTTGGTGTTTTTCCACGAGTTCAGTGCCTTGGGGAATCTTCTCCTTACTGAACCACAAAAAGCCGTTCTGATGTGCAACAAAACCAGAATAGCTTCTTCATAAGACTTTTGACTGTCGAGTGTTTTAGTTATTGGTAGAAATATTGGTTAATCCGAAGTCTGGTTGTGTTGGCTGTCATTTCGATTATTTATTTTACCCTTTGTGTGAATGACCAATGCAATCCTGATTTTTAAAAATCCTTCTATGATAAGAGAGAAGGACCTTTTTACGTTATACTCCATCAAGGACACACCTTTTCCTAATTTTACTAATTTCTGACCATATGCACAACTTATTTTTATGAAGTCGTTTCATGCAGGGCTTGTTTTAGACTTTTAGGCCTCCTGACAATTCATTTGTTCTGATGAGAATAGCTGACGGCGACCAAAAGCGTGACATTTTAAAAACTGTAATTGTGTTCTTGTTGGATGTGTGGTTATGTATATGCTCTCACTGCTGGATCGGTACCTTAGCTGAAATCATGATGGTGGAAAGGACCAGAATTCAACTCCCTTTTCTGACCAGACCAGAGTGACGTGTTGTTATGGCTTACCATAAATGTGTAGTTGGTTCTTTATTTAGTGAAAATGAGGACTAGGTGTTGTAAAAGAATTTTGTGGGACACCAAAGATCCTGTGGTAATGACGGTTATGAGAGTTTTAATAAAATGGGAATATGGAAATTAATTCAGTTGTTTTTTATATTTATTTTTATTAATTACAATACAATGCATTTCATGAAGCTATCCGGGGCCATATTTTTGCACAATATCAGTTGTTTTTTTTTTTAAAAGACAGCATTTGTTATGCTTGAAGAATTGTATTCCTTTAAATATATGCAGTAAAAATACTGTACTATATCAATGACAAACATGAGAGAGAATAATGGGAATTATAAAAAAAAAAAAAAAATCTTGGACATTAACAAAAAATACCAAGACTAATCAATGCAATGACAAATTTTCCCAAGTTATATTTTTATTATTAATTGGCATATTTTTATTTTTTATTTATATTTTTATTTCCTTTGTAAATTATGACAGTTAAGCACTTTTTTTTTTTCCAAATTCTGAAAAAGATCGCAATTTTAAATAATTATAAATAAGCAAACATCTGTAACACAATATGGTCATAAAAATTAGGAAAATGTGCTTGTCTTAAAATAATTGTCTTTATAATTAAGTTTCTTTTAATTATATATTGCATTGTTTTCATAAAACTTACTCAGCCACCATCCCCTCGCTACCTTAGCTGAAATCATGATGGTGGAAAGGACCAGAATTCAACTCCCTTTTCTGACCAGACCAGAGTGACGTGTTGTTATGGCTTACCATAAATGTGTAGTTGGTTCTTTATTTAGTGAAAATGAGGACTAGGTGTTGTAAAAGAATTTTGTGGGACACCAAAGATCCTGTGGTAATGACGGTTATGAGAGTTTTAATAAAATGGGAATATGGAAATTAATTCAGTTGTTTTTTATATTTATTTTTATTAATTACAATACAATGCATTTCATGAAGCTATCCGGGGCCATATTTTTGCACAATATCAGTTTTTTTTTTTTTTTTTAAAGACAGCATTTGTTATGCTTGAAGAATTGTATTCCTTTAAATATATGCAGTAAAAATACTGTACTATATCAATGACAAACATGAGAGAGAATAATGGGAATTATAAAAAAAAAAAAAAAATCTTGGACATTAACAAAAAATACCAAGACTAATCAATGCAATGACAAATTTTCCCAAGTTATATTTTTATTATTAATTGGCATATTTTTATTTTTTATTTATATTTTTATTTCCTTTGTAAATTATGACAGTTAAGCACTTTTTTTTTTTCCAAATTCTGAAAAAGATCGCAATTTTAAATAATAATTATAAATAAGCAAACATCTGTAACACAATATGGTCATAAAAATTAGGAAAATGTGCTTGTCTTAAAATAATTGTCTTTATAATTAAGTTTCTTTTAATTATATATTGCATTGTTTTCATAAAACTTACTCAGCCACCATCCCCTCGCCCCCCCCAACTTTACCTATGTAAACATCTGTAATTTGTTGTAGTATGTGTGATATTTAAAATACTAAAATAGAATCATAATAAAAATAAAAAGATGTGAAACAGCTGTGGAGCTTCATTACAGGTCAGGTAATTAGATTCCATCCCTTACGTAACTGCTGCCTTCCTCTTTAGATGACAGGAACTGCATTAAGCATACATGCTTTAAAAAGGGGGCAGCACGAAACTAGGAGGACTTCAGCAGTAACCCGATCGTTCCACACTACTTTGATCATCTCCCAGTAAATTTAGTGTTTTGATATAGCCTAAAGAGGTTGGAAGACTTGTTCCTGGTTATGTATTCGGAAGGTTAGGATGGGTGTTACTGTCTGAGGAATTACAAGTCCTCCCAGTCATTCTCTCATACAGACGGAGCAGGAGATCATGGAGACTGGATCTGTCGTTTTCTCAAGGGACTTTGAGTGGTTCGTTTTTAACGGTAAGTTTGCTGATTAGATCATGTTAGGGTCCTAATTTATTGTGT